CTGGTGGTCTTGAAAAATCCCCTTGGGGGAAGGTGGCCTAGCCATACCAGATCTAAAATTGTATTATAAAGCAGTAATCATCAAAATTATCTGATATTGTCTAAGAAATAGAGAGGTGGATCAGTGGAATAGGTTAGGCACATCAGATATAATAGTCAATTACTATAGTAATCTACTGTTTGATACACCCAAAGACTCCAGCTTCTGGGGTAAGAACTCATTATTTGACAAAAACTGTTGGGAAAACCAGAAAACAGCATAGCAGAAACTAGGCATAGACCAACATCTTACACCGGTATACTAGAATAAGGTCAAAATGAGTACATGATTTAGAAATAAAGGTTGATGCCATAAGCAAATTTGGAGAGCAAGGAATAGTTAACCTGTCAGATCTATGGAGAAGAGAAGAATTTATGACCATACAAGAGAGAGAATATTTGAAATGCAAAATTGATCATTTTAATTACAATAAATTAAAGAGGGTTGCACAAACAAAGCCAATGCTACCAAGATTAGAAGGGAAGCAGAAAGATGGGAAACAATTTTTACAGCCAGGTTCTCTGATGAAGGCCTCATTTCTAAAATATATAGAGAACTGAGTCAAATTTGTAAGAATACAAGTAATTCCCCAATTGATAAATGGCCAAAGGATATGAATAGGTAATTTTCAGATGAAGAAATTAAAGCTATCTATAGTCATAGTAAAAAAAATGCTCTAAATCACTATTGATTAAAGAAATGCAAATTAAAACAATTCTGAGGTACTGCCTCATACCTATCAGATTGACTAATATGACAAAAAAGAAAAATGATAAATGTTGGAAAAGATATGGGAAAATTGGAAGATTGGAGCATTGCTGGTGTTGTGAACTGATCCAATCATTCTGGAGAGCAATTTGGAACTATACCCAAAGGGCTATAAAACTGTGCAATACCACTCTGATCCAGCAATACCACTGCTACATCTGCATCCCCAAAGAGATTATAAAAAAAGGGGGGGGGGGGAATCTACATGTACAATAATATTTATAGCAGCTCTTTTTGTGGTGGCAAAAAACTGGAAATTGAGGGGACACCCATCAATTGGGGAATGGCTGAACAAGTTATGGTATACTAATATAATGGAATATTATTGTGCTATAAGAAATGATGAGCAGGTGGATTTCAGGAAAACCTGGAAAGACTTACATAAACTGATGTTGAGTGAAGTGAGCAGAACCAGGACACTGTACATAGTAACAGCAACATTGTGCAATGGCTAACTTTAACAGATTTAGCTCTTCTTACCAATGCAAGGATCTAAAACAACTCCAAAAGACTCACAGTAGAAAATGCTATCCACGTCCAGAGAAATATTTTGGAGTCTAAATGCAGATGGAAGCATACTATTTGCTCTCTTTTTCTTTTGTTGATTTGTTTTATTTCTTCTTTCTCATGGTTCCTCCTATTCGTTCTATTTTTTCTTCACATCATGACTAATATAAGACAGTTCCAAAGGACTCATGATGGAAAATGCTCTTCACATCTAGAGAAAGACCTATGGAGTCTGAATGCAGATCTAAGCATATTACATTCTTTTGTTTGTTTTTTTCTTTCTCATGTTTTTCCCTTTTTGTTCTGATTCTTCTTTCACAACATGATTAATGTGGAAAAAGGAAAAGAAAAGAAAAGAAAAGAAAAGAAAAGAAAAGAAAGAAAGAAGAAAAGAAAGAAAAGAAAGAAAGAAAGAAAAGAAAAGAAAAGAAAAGAAAAGAAAAGAAAAGAAAAGAAAAGAAAAGAAAAGAAAAGGAAAGAAAAGAAAAGGAAAGGAAAGGAAAGAAAAGGAAAGGAAAGAAAAGAAAAGGAAAGAAAAGAAAAGGAAAGGAAAGAAAAGGAAAGGAAAGAAAAGAAAAGGAAAGAAAAGAAAAGAAAAGAAAAGAAAAGAAAAGGAAAGAAAAGAAAAGAAAAGAAAGAAAAGAAAAAAGAAAGAAAGAAAAGAAAGAAAAGAAAAGAAAAGAAAAGAAAAGAAAAGAAAAGAAAAGAAAAGAAAAGAAAAGAAAAGAAAAGAAAAGAAAAGAAAAGAAAAGAAAAGAAAAGAAAAGAAAAATCTCCTTGGGAGCAAGGCTGAAAAGTAGTGGGTAGGCTTGGTGGAGCTGAGGAACTTTGCTTTACACCCTATCAGCAAACAAAATTGCAGTCCTCCCTGCATGTGTAACAGGATGTTCAAAGTGACACTCTGGTTATTCTAGAAAAGCAAAACCCAGCAGTTCCACAGATGTACATCAGTGCCCTTGCAGGCCAGTATTGCCTTCAAAGCATGAGTCCAGCCAACTGGCCATCTGGCTTCATAAAGCTGATCCTCATCCATGACTGTTGAAGAGCCTTTTTTCCACTGTTATTCATAGATGGCAGGTTAATTTGGCCAAAATAGGAGCCTCCAATCCCAGAAGCCCTTTGGCCCAGTTGGTACCTAGGATGCTGTCAACATTCCTTAGAATGCTGGGATTCCAGCACACAGAGCTACAATCTGAGACAAGGAGACAGAATCATAAAGTTGGAATGAGTACGGTCATGGGTTCTATTGTCCTTCTGAGCTTTTATCTTACAATTCAAAACCTAGTAGACTGTCATATTTCTCCTCCACTCCTTTATCCCTTTCTTCACAAACTAGGATGATTTATTCTGGAGCCTGTATTGTATGGAAGCCTCCAAAGAGCAAGAGGGCATACAGGGTTGCAAATTTGAAGCTGGAAGAGATCTTTGAGGTCATCAAATCCAACCTCTTTATTTTATAGATGAGGAATATAAGAAAGTGATTTGCCTGGAGTCACAAAACTAATAAGTATCTGAGTCAAGATTCAAACCCAGGTCTTCCAGACCCCTAGAACAATGTTTTAGTCACTGTATCACAAGAAGTCAGATTCATTGAGCACTTTAACATTTACAAAGCACTTTCCTCACAACAACTGAGTGAGCCAAAAGTATAAGGATTATTATACTTATTTTATAGATGAGGAAACTGAGGCTCAGAAAAATTAGATGATTCATTTAAGATAACATGGTTGATTACTGTCCTTCATACTCAAAGAGATCAAAATGACATATTATGTTGGAGTCAAGGTACAGTGTGTCCAATTGTGGCTGATCAGACCATTATGAGCTCAGAATTCTCTACCAGAGGTCAAGCAAAAATAATTCATGTGAACATTCCAAGATCCTCATGAATATCCCAAGACCATATAGCAATTAAGTGGCAGAGCTGGAATTGAAACCCACACCTCCTGGCTGCAGGTGTAGTGTTCTTTCCACTATACCACACTACCTTGTCCAAGATGTCATGGAAGCACTTGAGTACCCTCACCATCATTAGGATGTCCTACTACCTGGCACCAATGTAACTTAGTTACCAGCATAGTCTTCTAATAATGACACAATGAAGGTAAATAGAAAAAGTATAGGTAAGAGACAGAAGGTACCTAAAATATGCCTCGAATTGTCTGAGACTCGTGGCTCTAGTCCCAACAGATGGGCCAATAAGGCTAGGTTAGAAAGCTGTGGATCTCTTGATACATAGACTGCTAACATAGGATGGGGAGACCACAAGAAGCAAACAAAGCCCCAGAGCTATGAAAACTTCTAGGCAGAGGACTTGGAGGACACTTGAACTAGGCTGTAGGTAAGACTCCACTAATAGGACCCCACTTTCTAGGTCTGAAAGGCTCCAAGGTCATAAATGCAGTCCATGATTAGATATGCTAAAGGTGGCTTGGATGTTGTAATCCATTTCTAAGTCTTGTTATTTCTATCTGTTTCTATTTCTAGCTGTCATATAGGTCCCCTTCTCTCTGCTCACACAAGCCTTAAACCCAATTCACTCTGGATCTCATGGATTGGACAACAATAGGTCCCTGTCCAAGCACCACTTAATGGTTGTTTTTTGGGCCCTCCTGGCTCAGAGTAAATGCAAACAGTAGCTGTTTCTT